ATGGACTTGAGAGCTTTATTTGGGATTCTGAAATGCAGAAATTCATCATTCCATCAAATAGGATAAGTGAGTCAGTGAACCAGGCAGCCCAAGTTGGTTTTACACATAGAAAGGGGCTGGTGGCAGCAGAGACAAAAGGAGCTCTGGGTCAGTTCAGTGACTTTCCTTGTGAGGTGGGGACAGGAAGATAGAACAATAGATGAATAACTGATTGACATCAGGACACTTCTGGTTAGTTCTTTGTGTAAAGATTAAAACAGAAGGAATTTCATTGTTATGACAATCACTGCTGTGCTGTTTGAGAAATTGGCTGTCATCACCTTACTGGTTTGAGGGAGGACTTGGTTTTCCTTCAACATTTTTTAGCTGGTGCCCTGCAATCCTGGCACTCGGGAGGCTGAGGCAGGAGGACCTCCGAAAGTACGAACCCACCCTTTGCTACATAATATGTTCAAGGTCAGCCTGGACTACATAGTGAGACCCTATCTAAAAAAAAAACAAAAAACTTTTTACTGTATTTTTTTTTAGAGATTCTTATTTATGTCCCAAAGGGCATTAGGTTGATTCTCTGTCCATCAATTTTATTTCCAAATGGAAATCCCTATATAAACAAAGCCAGTCTACATGAAATTGTGTGATGCCTGGGCTTTAAGCATGAGTGACTCCATATTGATTTTTAGCCTGTCTTTGGGCTCGGTGAAAGAGCTTAGTCCAAAGCAATGGCTCCTCCCACTTTTATTTGAGTGGCCCGAGACTTAGAACAGAACACTGCACACCTGCTGAGACACCTCTCCTTCTTGCTTGGCAGTGATTATTTGTCATTTGGCCATGTATCTCACCCCTTGAACTTTCCTTCTGCTATTCAACGGCTGAACCAGGATCCTTACATCTAGAACACATTTATTTATTTATTTAGCAACACTGGGGCTTGAACCCAGGGCCTTTGTACTGAGCTACATCGCCAGTTCTTTTTTTTATTTTTACTTTGAAAACAGTTCTGGTTTCAATTACCTAAGCTGGGCTTGAACTTTCGATCCTCCTGCCTGAGCTTCTCAGAATGCTGGGATTATAGGCATGCATCCCCACACCTGGCTGACTATAAATTTTAATACACTAAGTGCAGTGTTATCCTGGTTACTAACACCCAGCCCAGGGAATGAAGGGAACCCAGGCCAGTGGGAAAACCCCTCACTCACAGCCTAACAGATTCGATCGGAGCGATGGAGGGAGTGGGTGCTGAGAGCCCTTGTCTCCAGAGGGGAAGGAATATTCCTAGCAGGCTGCAGAGTCAGAGTGCCCAGGGTGGCCACAGTGGGGACAGATGCAGGATAGGAGTTTTCCAGCAGGTGTTTGGTGTTCTTCATTCAATCTCTGTCAGTTACATTCATCTCCTACGGCGCCAGGCCAGACTACTCGGACATAATGGTGACCATTCAGTAGATGAGTTTTATAGCCATAAAAACCTAGCGGGTGGTGGATGTTATTCCTCTTCACATTCTGTTACTTTGACATATTTTAATCATTATGGAAAACATGCAAGAATAGTACTGTTCACCAAAATTCACCAATTATTGAAATTTTCTTTACACTTGCTTTATCTCTGTTTTTCTTTTTTCTTGGAGGACAGGAGGCTGGCTGTGCTACACTTTCAAACATTTTCACACATTGCTCCTAGATTCTCCTGTTTGCATATCCTAATAATAAGTGGATTTTCCTACATGAGCATTAGAAGACGATCCCATTCAGAAAATTAAACTTAAACCCAGTGTTTTCTAATTGGTACCCGACTGTCCTTTGTAGCTCTTTAAAATTCCTGTGCACTGTGAGCTCAAGTCTAGAGAACCAGTGTAGTTACCACGTCCCTTTCTTTCTCTCTCTCTTTCCCCCCCAACCTCTCTCTTTTTGAGACAAGGTCTTACTATGTAGCCCAGGCTGACCTCGAACTCATGGTGATCCACCTGCCTCAGCCTCCTGAGAGCTGGATTACAGGCGTGCACCACCACCACGCCTGGCTTACAACTTCACTTTATCCCTGTTTCATCTAAAGAAATCCTACAGCCTTTAAAAAACTTTTCTGAAATCTGAATTTTCTGAGAAATGATGAGTTTCCTGTGCGTAGATTTGTCGGTGTCCTCCTGGGTCCCTCCAGGTCCTTTATTACACTTAGGGGCAGGAGAAGCCATGGGGAGAGAAGGTGTCCTCGGAATTTACTGTGGGTGTCACGTGGCAGCAGGGGTTGAAACAGATCACTTGATTAAGGTGGCGCCTGCCACTTTCTCCATTGTCAAATCATGTTTTCCTCCTCCTCAGCAACTAAACCATCCATCAGTGATATTTTAAGACTGAGCATCCTGTTTCCTACCAGGCTTCCTTGTCGTGGTTTTAGCATCCGTTCATGATTCTTGCCTCCACTGATTACTTCCTGGTTTGTGGTGTTAGCAAATTCCATTTTCAGATCAGAAGGACAAGGCTCAGAAAGGAGCCCTGCAAGGTCTTGTATGCCTGGCTGAGCTAGGAGAGGGGCACTGTGCTTCAGGCCTGAGGTTAGCACTCGGCTACCCACTGTGAACATGTCACTGTGAGACTCTCCTGGGCTATATTACACAGTAGCCTACCTCCCATGAGCCATGAATCCTTTGTCACCCCTCTTATTTGCATGCAGACTTGCATCTTAGAAGTTACTAGTGTCTGTCAACCTCAGCAGGTCCTGCTTCTATGGATTTCCCCGGAGGCAGAGCCTGATGCAGGAATTCTTGTTCGTGTCACTGTGGTGGGAGGCTGTTGGGGGCAGCCCTGGAATGAGTGGGGGACACAGGACAGAACAGAGGGAAGCAAGCAAAGATGCACTCTCTGGGCCCCACTGGGAGCTCAGGAGTGTGACCAGCCTCTCAGAGCTGTCCCACCTTGGGGCAGGAGGCCACCCATCCACAGCCAATGTCAGTCTGTCCTTGGCAGTGGGCCACTCCCAGGAGAGGGTGCTGTGAGCTCTTAGAGGCCAGGTGTGGGCACCTGTAGGGCCGAGGTCAGTGATGGAATAAAGGCTTTTTAAGCGCCTGAAACCCAGTGTGCATCACAGGATGTGACCTTCTAAGGAAAGAAGAAGTGTCCACCTATTTCCTTTCCTCATCACACAAAGGAGCAGCAGGGGGATCAGGTTATACTATGTAACTTGGTCCTGGCAAGACATGGCCACTGGAGATGGCAGAGACAGAACGGCCTTTTGGGGTGTTCCTGGCTGCTTCAGGGCCCCAGGCAGGAAAGTGTCACCTGTGCATATGGGAGAGGGCAAGGGACCCAGAGCTGAGCACCTTGTACTGGATGAGACACTCATGGGGCTAAGCCTCCTGGTCCTCGTTCTTAAACACCAGGAACACAGGACCGTGGTGCAGGCTGTGGCAAGGAGCGAATGAGAGAGAGGTGTGTGGAGGGGCAGGGCACACTGCAGGCACCACACAGATGCAGAACTATCTGATAACACATGTGGGGCAGTGTCCATCCCTTATGCTTATTTAAGTTTGCCATGTGGGCCAGCCCCAGGCTCCCCATCTTACCTGTCACCCACAGAGTTGGGTGAGCACTGGACCTTCATTCTAGGTGGCACCCAGCCACTTCCTGGCTCCCTGCCTCTGGCCAGCAGTGACTTCCCAGCCTTGGTCTCTTTTGTAAATAGGAATTAATGCTCACCAACAGGATCAAGATGGGCACAGAGCAAGGGAAATAAGCTTTATTTACTGCTGTGATTCTTGTGCCACAAATTCACCTCTAAAGGAGTTGATTCACTCCAAGTGTTAGTCTGTCCACAAGGTTATGCAGCCCTTACCACCCTCTGACACCAAAACATCTCCCTCCCTACCCACAACAAAGAAACCTGGAACCCATCCCCAGTCACCTTTCCCTCCACCCTCAGCCACACCAAGCTGCTTTCTGTCTCTGTGGGTCTACTACGCAGAACCTGTCACAAGATCATATGATGTGGCCCATATGTCTGGCTTCTGTTGCTCTAGGATGACCTGTGTCAGCACTCCCTTTTCATGGCTGGATAATATTCCTTTGGAAGAAGAGACCATGGTTTATTGATCCATCCATCTGCTGATAGGGACCCATGGGCCATTGTGAATAACCTCAGTATGATTTTATGAATAGCACAGCACCATTCCACTCTGGGGTTTTATTATAAATAATGTCAGTGATTAAAATACTTAGATTGGTCCAAAGAAGCAAAATGCACTCATCAGATCAGGAACATAATGACTGTTTTGCCCAAGTGCATTTTGCGCTTGGAATGGAGCTGTGTTCATGCTTTCAATCGATGCTTTGAACATCAGAACTTATCAGCTACCATACCTGGAATTTAGCACTTAGGGTTCTCTCCCCAAACTCATGCATGTTTTATGCCTGAAGACAAAACCTGAACTAAACAATAGTTAAGATGCTCAGAACCTTTTGACAACAAGTTAGAGATGGACAGTTGGGTCCCTTGAGTACAAAGTACTCTTCAGTGATAGGGAAATAGAGTCAAATAATGCACCTGTCTTCCCTCAAAGCTCTTAATCTTTAGGGGAGGGCACTAAGGTGGTGTCCTTGCCATTTTCTTGTCACTGGGACCCAGGTGAAGGAGGAGAGGTTTATTTGGGGCTTGTGGCTGTAGAGAATTCAGTTCATAGTCAGCTGGCTCCAAGGCAGGAACAGCATGGTGGAAGGGCCTGGCGGAGGAGAGTTGCTCACCTCATGGGGGCCAGGAAGCAGAGAGAGAAGGAAGGAGCTGGGGAGGGACAAACATCTTCTCCATCCAGGCCCCACCTCTTAACCAGAAGTTAGCCCGAGCACCCACAATTCAGTCAATTTCCAAAACCCTGCTTCTGAGTACATGAGGCTCTTGGGGACATCTGTGTAAACCATGACAGGTGGTGACCCCGACAAGGCCCAGCCTGTGTGCTCGAGAGATGGTCTCTTTGGTGGGGTCCTGACTGGCAGCCACTGACCCTGCCTCTCTCTCCCAGCATGGTCAGACAGCAGGAGGACCCCTGCCCTGAGGACAAGGAAGCAAAGGGCAGCCCGAGGGACTCTGGCTACGACAGCCTGTCTGGAAGGCTCAGCATCCTGGACCGGCTCCTGCACACACACCCTGTCTGGCTGCAGCTGGGCCTGAGCGAGGAGGAGGCAGCCGAGGTCCTGCAGGCGCAGCCACCTGGGGTGAGACGGGGGCCTCTGGAAGGCTGAGGCAGGGGGTCAAATAGGACTTAAAGCATGTAGATAGAAACTAAGAAATAGCAGGAGAGGCCAGACACAGTGGCACACACCTATAATCCCTGTTACTCCGGAGACTGAGGCTGGAGGATTGCAAATTCAAGGGCAGCCCAGGAGACTTAGCAAGACTTTGTCTCAAAGTAAAATAAAAAGGACTGGGGGTGCAGCTCGGTGCTTCTTGAGTTCAGTCTCGAATACTAGGAGAACAAATGAATTGGAAAGGCAAGGGGAAAACTTAGTCTGTAGCTGGCTGACTGTCCCGACCATAAGGCTGGAAACCGAGCTTTTGAGTTTCCTGGCAGCCAGACCCTGTCCTCTTCTGTCTGCAGCACTCACTTCCAAGTGAGTCTTGACTTCTTGAAAATGGAACCAGGTCCCTGGTCTCCCTGGCTCACTCCTCACCCAGCATCCAGCTCTGGTACCCACCACCTCCCCAGGGAACCAGCTTAGGAGCTGTGAGCTGAACGTGGGAAGGAGGAGTGCTTCAGTGGGGAAAACGAAAGAAGTCAAGGATCCAGATCCAGAGGAAAGAGAAGTCAAGATGCAGGACAGGGCTGTATGCTGCAGAAGGGAACCAGGACTCACACTGCCTGCTCCAGGGAGCACCATCCAATTTGTAGGTCAAGTGAATGGTATGTCCTGGAGTGCACAGCCTATGTAACAGTACACGGGATATTTAGATTCCTGTCTTAAATATACCATAAGTCAAATAAACCAATTCACCACTTTTAGTTGAGCCATGTTACCTGTATTAAGAATTTATGTTCATCGAGATACGTTGAACAGTGCAGATGGACAGGAAGGGTTCTGTTTATGGACTTCAGGGCTCAGGAAAACTGCATGCCCAGGTTCCGGAGTCCTTGACATCCCTAAGCTCGAATTCTTCCTCCCTCCTCAGATCTTCCTGGTGCGCAAGTCCACCAAGATGCAGAAGAAAGTGCTATCCCTGCGCCTGCCCTGCGAGTTCGGAGCCCCACTTAGGGAGTTTGCCATCAGGGAGAGTGCCTACAGTAAGTGGGTGACAGGTGTTGGCTGTGCTGCCCTCCTTGTCTTATGAGGGGCATTGGGGCTCTGCATTGAAAGACCCCAGAGATAGAATGTCCCCTGGCAGGTATCACCACTTCGCACCATCTCAAATGCAACTCTCAGGGGAAACAACCACTCGAATTTCTTCTTATACTTTCTTTTCTGTCTGGTGCTGGGCTTGGAACCCGGGCCTTGAGCATGGCAGGTGTGTAGCCCTGTTGCACTGCCCACAGAGACAGGTTTGCAGGGACAGCGCTAGACAGTGTCACTGTCCTTTCCCGCTGTTCCAGTCGCTGCCTGCTCTTTGAGCCCTGGAAACAGGCAGTGTCAGGGGGCCAAGGGTTCATAGGAAAAGGGCACAGTTCTGAAGCCCTGCCAGCCTCAGGAAGGATGGCGAGGTGGACCTGCACCCAGAGGGTCTCAGTGGCACCTGTGGGAGCAGCTCCCAGCCTACCCTGCTCTGGCTCAAGGATAAACCTGGAGCTCTCGTAGTTGAGTCACTTGGGAACTGAGTCTGCCTAGGCAGGTGGGACCTGGCAGTTCATCACATTATCTTTAAAGATAATGAATTTTGACTGGGTGTGGTGAAATCCTAGCTACTTGGGACACTGAGGCAGGACGATTGCAAATTCAAGGCCAGCCCAGGCAGCTGAGTGATTTAGCAAGACTATTTCAAAATAAAAAAAAATAATAATAAAATAAAATAAAATGGGAAACTGTGTTGTAAAGAAGGGAAACTTGAGTCATTTATAGGAAAATGGTTGTATCTTGAGATCATAATGTTAAGTGAAATAAATCAGACACACAAGCTTATGTATTGTATGGTTTCTCTTATATGAGAAGCCCACATTATAAGTAACATGCGAAATAAAAGATAGATAATAGGAAGCAGGGAGAGAGATCTTTTCCAAATGGGAAGGGGAGTCAAGACTGGAGGGAAAAGGGAGGAAGAAGAGGGGAAAGAGAAGTAAAAAGGATGAAAAGGGTTATGTGCTTGCACCAGCACCCATGTGAGCTAATATAAAAAGGGCCCTGGGGATGTTGCAGGAGACCCTGAATTCAATCCCCAGCACTGCCAAAAAAGGAAAACTGTAATGAATTTCTATTCAGGGAATTAAAGATCAACTTACATTAAGTTAATCCAGTGGTTCTGAGTTGGCTTTTGAGAGCCTGCTGGCCCCACGGGCACAGATCTTGCTGGTATCCAAAGTCCTGTGGTGACCTGGCTAAGAGGCCCTGCGCCACCTCTGGAAGTGCAGCAGGGTCTGGGGTTCCCTGCCTCCCAGGGACTCCTGCTGCCACCTCCCTAGCCCTCTTCGATTGACCTCAAGTGCGTGCACGCATGAGTGCAGACAAAGCATCACCAGGCCTTAACCCATTCTCAAAAGCTGAGCTGTGAGGGAAAAAGGGCTTGCTGTAGGAACGCAAAGATGTTTTGTTGTTATTTCTGGACAGTGTGGTTTAATAAAGAACACCACCTCATATTTGTATACAATGCTTTCACAGAAACCATTTCGTTTTTTTAAATTTTCAATTTCCACTCTTCTGGGAGACAAGGGAAATTCTGTTCATGTCCATTTTATGGTTGAGAAAACCAAGGCGCAGAGAAGTTAATCTACCCCAAATAAGTTTTCTCTGCTGAACTCAATAGGTACATGTGTGTTGGTTGTTTCTCTGTGTGTCTGTCTGTCCACGTGGTAGGGTGTGTGTAGAGGCAGGGATGTGATTGGAGTAGTACAGAGATGCTATGAGGTATGATCAAAAGATACAGCAAATACTTAAATTTTTAAAATTATTACAGTAAAAGGCACATTGCCATTAGTCCCCCTCTAAATCCTCCCCCTGACTTCCAACACACACATCTCATCGTTCTTGCCACTTTCTGCAGCAGCTCTGGAGTCCTCTTCTGTGGGTGTTTATAGTTGCACTGTCCTGGCTGCTTCAGTGTCCTGAATGGATTCAAAACATTGACCTTTCATGGTCATTTTGACTTTAGGGAGAAGCCAGAAGACACACAGTGCCAGATCTAGTGACTAAGGTGGAGAAGGACACAGCATCATGTTTTCATTTGACAGAAATCACTGTACCAGAAGCGATGTGTGACCCCGAGTATTGTGATTGAGGATGAAACTGTAGACCCATTTCCCAAGCCGCTTTCTACACACACAGTTTCTTACTCTAATAACCCCCTATCCTATTCAGAGTCCCCATAGAATTTCTGGGTACAAACTCGGCTGCACAATTCCATCCAGGTCACAGAGCACGATCCATAGCACCTTGGTGCTGGGTCCTGGTGGACACGATTTTCTCACCCCAGGGGAACTGGGTGGTTTCCATGGAGACCCTGACCCCTGCTCCCAGGACACAGCCACAGACAGTTCCATCTCCCATGACAACAGGGCTTAGAACACTGGAATCTGAAGCGGCACAGATGTACACCAGTGAGGTGTGTTGTCCGTAATCTGTGCACACTCTACAATATACCTTCTCAGCCACAGCTCACAGCCACACACACAGAAACTTGTCACACACTGCTGCCACTGAGGTTCCATGTGCAGGCCTCCTGTTGAAGATCCTAGCTTTCCACTCAATGGCACTCAGTAGCAGCTGTCTCTTCTTTTTAAATTACACCTTGTAAATAAGCCAAATAAGTGAAGATATACAGGGTTTAAACAGGGACTGATGCCAGATGTGGTGGTGCACACCTGTAATCCCAAGAGTAGGAAGGCTGAGCCAGGAAAGTCACCACAAGTTCGAGCCCAGCCTGGGCTACCTAGTGAGACCCTGTCTCCAAAAAAAAAAAAAATCAAACTGGGGGCTAAGATGCACCTGACTGAGTCCGTCCTCTGAGTCCTCCGAGGCTGCGGGGAGGTTTCTGGAGGGCTGACATTCTGAGGAGGACTGCAGGTGAAGTGGAGTGTGGGGCTGTTGGCAAACACCCAGTGTTCCAGGTCAGACCCCACTGCCCTGCCATTAGAGGATGACAGGTGGCTCAGCATCAGCCACTCGGAACATGTCCAGAGGGGCCAGGTGGAGGATGTGGCTTTAGAGTCTTCCATGCTGAATGCTACCAAGAGCTGACTCCCTGGGAACCTCACTGCGCTCCAGGCTCCAGCTCCCTCAGTCCAGAGGTGGCCAGCCAGGCAGGAAGGGGGGTGGCTGGCAGGTCCCTGGTCAGGGCTCCCAGGGTCAAGGGCTGTGGGCCACTCTGGCACCTGCTGATGGCCTCCTGCTCCAGCCTGCCTGGCCCCAGGCCCCTACCCAACATCATGCCCCAAATTTTAAAACAAAGAAGCTTCTGTGAGACCCAAGCCTGCTCCATGGCACCTGGCCAGGGCACCTGCTTAGGGGTCAGGGACCCAGCTCGAGTTACCGCCAGGCCACGTCCGCGCCTGCCAGCCCTGCAGAGAGGGCACTCAGAACACTCAGCTACTCTCTGCCCTCTCTTTTCAGCCTTTTCCCTGGAAGGCTCAGGAATCAGCTTTGCAGATTTATTCCGGCTCATTGCCTTCTACTGCATCAGCAGGTAAGGCCTCCCTGCACCCCAGGGACCCTCTGAGTGTGTGTGATGCGTCAGCCAAGTGTCTGGGTGCTGGAGGGAGGAAGGAAGGATGCTGAGATGAGATGCTCCCGGGCTGTACAGCATGGAAGAGGGGGAACCTTGGCCACTCTGGGTGTCCACGCTCAATGACGATTCCACAGGCTGCTCCCCAGCAGGAAACACACAGAGGCACACACACATGTATATACATATGCACTCACACAAAGGAAACTGTGATACAAACCTGTAATATTTAAAGGTCATTGCCAATGTTTTTAAAAATTGGTTAAACCATCCCATAAATGTTGCAGAATCAACCCTCAGGCTCCTGTCGACAGGTTGCTCCTGTCCTTTTCATGACCAAAGCACCTGTTTTAGTATACAGAAAAGTAAGCCCTAAATCAGGATGTTAAGAGGGTATGAGTTATAGAAGCCTTTTTAAAAAATTATTCTTTATTTGTGGTACTGAGAATTGAACTCAGAGAGCACTGAGCTACATCCCTATCCCTTTTTTATTTTTATTTTGAGACAGGACCTCACTAAATTGCCCAGACTGGCCTCAAATTTCCCAAACTGGCTTCAAATTTGAGATCCCCCTGCCTCAGCCTTCCTAGTAGCTGGGATTACAGGAATGTACCACCACGTATGTCTTCTTCTTCTTATTATCATCATCTTCATCATTTTCTTTTTCTAAAATAAATTTTAATTTTATCCCATCCCCCCCCTTCATTATTTATTTTCCAACATGGGCCACAAAGTGAGAGCCTGTCTCAAAAAGGAAAGAAAATAAATTTAGACTGTGTACATACTGAAACTCTTGGGGGACACATTTATATTTAGGGTGGTAGCTTTTTTGTCTGTTGGGCAAGCTTTGTTGGGGCCTCTCTCTTTAATAGGGCTTAGGAGTTGAGGAAGAGTCCCTGTGTGCGTGCACATGTGTATATGTGTGTGCATGCGCATGTGTGTGGACACTGGGATGCTCCCTGGCTGGGACAGGGGGAGAGGACTTGAGTATAGCATCTAATTTTCTAGCAGATCAAAGCCTACAGCCACTCATTAAAGAATGGCAGGTGTGGCTTCCTATCACCTGTCATTAAGAAAAACCCAAGCCAGTCAGGTGACATTTGAACTCAAAATTCTGGATTGAGCCCAGTAAAAGCTTAAAGTACAGGTAGGTCTGTTTCATTGAGTGTCTGAAGAAATGGATTTTAATGGCACCGTTCTGGACATACAATCACATATTTGCAGGGTACTGTGGTTTTGCAGAGTTCTGGCTCTGCATCTCTGCTGAGTCAGGCTGCCTGCCAGGCATGTTGGTACAAGCCTGTAATCCCAGTACTCAGGAGCCTGAGGCAGGAGGATCACTGTGAATTCAAGGCCAGCCTGTACTACCTAGTAAGACTCTGTCTCAACAAGTCATAGTAATCCCCAGTACCAAAAAAAAGTAATAATAATGTAAAATTAAAGAAAGAATGAGGCTGTTACCTGTGGCTCCAGCTGCTTCATCTCCAACCCAGATAGGGGGACAAGCAGAAGGGATGCTCACAACATTTGGGGAACAGGCGATAAGATACCTAAGAAGCAGGGGCAATGTGGATGGATACCCCCAGAAGCAGCAGCCTCCTGACCTTGTGAATGACACTGCAGGGCTATGCTGATGAGCCAGTGTCCAAACTTTACCCATGTGTTCATTGACTTTTCATTGACTTTACAACTTAGTTATTCAGTGTACAGTTCTAAAATTCCACGGTCATCTAGATGTAATCTGTTCCATCCTAGGGTGTTGCCTAGCCATACCCTAAACAAGGCCTTTGGTCTCACTATTCTCATCACAGGAAAGTTCCAGGGTGACTTGTGCTGACAAAGTACAAGCAGAATCCCCAAGCTTTGTACCCCTCTAAGTCCACCAGCCACTGCCTCCTTGCTATCCTTCCCACTGACCAGACCCTCACCCACCCCGGAGCCTTGGCACCTGCTGCCCCCTCTTGGAACATTGTCCCTTCATGGTTTTTCCCTAACTGTATACAGATCTTCAGGGGCCACCTGTTCACAAAGCCCTGTCTCGCCAGCTGTTGCCTTCATATGCTGTTTTTCAGTACTGGGGATTGAACCCATGGCCTTTGCACTGAGCTACCACCCTAGCTTTTTTTTTTTTGTTCATTTTTTTGAGACAGGGTGTCACTGCTAAGATCCCTATGCTGGGCTCAAACGTGTAATCCTCCCAACCCAGCCTCCCAGAATGCTGGGATTACAGATGCCTGCCACCTAGTGTACACTTAACTCTTTTATCCTTGGTGTGGGTCCTCTTCCCATATCCGTGTATTCCATAAAATGGCCTATTTGTGTATTGTGTTTCATTCCCAGCCCTGGAGCAATATCTGAAGTACCCTAGATGGTCATAAATATTTGCTGAATGAACAAATGAATCATTCTTTGTAAGACCAATACCATCACCGGAAACAACACTTCTCCCATAAATCGCTATTGTTACTGAGCATTCATTCTATCAGTCATTTATTCCAAAAACACGTTCTCCAGGAAAGGTGCGGGAGACGCACACCACTGCTTGGAACATATGAAAATGAACAAATGTGCAAGGTGCCACCTGTACCCTCCCGAGAGAGCCAGTCATGGTCCCTGCGTTTGCGCCCGCTGACTTAGGCCCTGGCTGGAGCTCAACTCCGTCTTCTCCGGCTTGCGGCTCTGTGATGCCTACGTCCCTGGTGCCGCGATGCTGGGATGGCTGCTGTCATGAGGAGCCTGCGACTTGCCTTTGACGCTCGGTCACCTGGGCAGTTTGTAGATGCGCAGGCTCTGCAGCCCCGCCCAGGCCCCGGGTTCAGCGTGGATACGCAGTGTGCGTATTTACGCATGTGGGTGTTTACACAGTGTGAGTGGTTTACCCCATAGGGCGAGCCCCCCCCCCCCGGGTCGGCCACACGTGAAAGCTGAAGTTCTTAGAAGCAGGAGAAAGTTTCCTTCCACGCGCAACAGGGAAGGCATGGGCTCTGCTTGGAAAGTATCACAAGTTGGGCCAGCAGCTGCCCGCTGAGCACCCCCAGTGTCAGGCAGTGGACTGATAAAACTTGGTTTAGAGCTGCACATTCCTGCCCTGGGAGTTGGAGCCTGACTCTGTGATAGGGATCTAGCAAATTAGCACGTACAGTTTCGGAGGTGGAGCGGAGCCATGGACACCATCAGCGATTCTGAGTGCTGATAGTGACCACATGGCCTTGCCTTCCAGAGGGAGCCTGTTCCCTAGGCTGGGCACTGAAACCATGTGGACTTCTCCTGCGGCTGTCCTGTGTGTTTAATGACAGGGTGGGGGTGTGAGCGCTGACCTCTGCTGGATAACCATGGTGTCCACTTGGGACCTTTTAACTGTGGAAGCTAAACCCATTGCTAGGATGGAAATGAGTGCCAAGTTAGGAACTGGACAGGCAATGACAAATATTCTCTCTTTTTCTGCAAAATCAGGGATGTCCTGCCATTCACCTTGAAGTTGCCTTATGCCATTTCAACAGCCAAGACTGAGGCTCAGCTTGAAGAACTGGCCCAGCTGGGACTAAGTAAGTGGGTGGCCCTGCCCGGTTCTGTCTTAAAATGAATCCAGGCCTCAAAGTGTGTGCCCCATGCTGTGTCAGATAACTCTCAGGTCCATGAGGTCCCAGAATCACATTTTCTGGGATTCTTTTTTTGAAACAGGTTCTTCCTATGCAGTTTAGGCTGGCCTTGAACTCACCATGTAGCCTAGACTGTTCTTGAACTCACAGCAATCCTCCTGCCTCAGTCTCCTGAGTGCTGGGATTGCAGGTGTTTGCCACCACTCCTGGCTTCTGGGTTTTTTTTCCAAGTCAAATGTTCAGCCAACTCTTAGGAAAACTGGGACTGAGGGGTCACCCCCAAATCTCCCAGCTTCTCCTCTAAGTAATTTGGATCTACCCACAAGTTGGAGTTCGAATGTATATGACCTGGCTGGGTGTCAGGGTCTCCCCCTATGGTGGCACCTTACTGGGGAAAGAGGGACCCATGCAGAGCACACTTCCCATGCAAGTCACACTTCCCACGCAGGTCACACAGCCGTGGGTGGCACTCTTATGCCTGAGGAACTTGACAGTGAAGATGTCCCAAAGCTGAGTCTCACTCCCACACTTCCAGTGACTTTGCTCTGCCAGCAGGCACTTGCTTCCCCTCCTGCCCCAAAGCCCACTAGTCCTGCTGGCAGTGGCTGCAAAGGATCGGGACACACAGCTCACCCAGTGACCCAGTGTTGCTCTGGGAAATCTGTACAAGCTTAACTTTTGCAAAGAATTTCCCTTCCACGAGGAAAGGGGAATTCTCCTAGGATTTCAGGGCCCCCGCTCCTTGCAGAAGTTACCAATCAGAGACCATGGGATTTGAATGGAGCTTTGGGATTTTGAAGCCCCAGTAACCAGGATTTCTAGAACCTAAGAAACCTATACTTGACCTGGAAAATTAAAAATATGTCTACTTCCTTTGGCATAATTTTTCTTGTAACCTAAAGAACTTGAAGTGGATGTCGTTTCTGAGGTAGCCTCCCTAGCCCACAAAGAAGCCTGAAGAGGCTCTGAATTCCTGAGACTTAGACGGCTTTCAAGGTGGACCCATGTGCCCAGGGTCCTTCTAGGTAGCAGAATTGGGAAAGAGAATCTTGGGGGTGGCAAAGCATAGAAATGTCCCTGCTGAAAACTTGTGCCTTCTCTTCTTCTTCTCTAGCTAAATTCTGCACACCTTTGTGGAGATTAAACTTCTTTCTGAAGTTAATGCAGTCAGCCAGATTATGAGCTGTATGGACTTTTTCTCCTTTTTATTTCTTTGTTTTTGTTTTGGTTTTCCCTGTGGATCTTGCTATGTAGTTCAGGCTGGCCTTGACCTCTCAGTGATCCTCCTGCCTCAGCCTACCAGTGTTGGGGATAGAACCCAGGACCTCATACATGCTAGGCAGGTGCTGTACCAATGAGCTGCACCCCATCCCCCTATGATAGGGGGTCTTGACATGCACCAGGTCTCACTTTTCTCTGGCTTGGTGGCCACATGTCATGAGGCTTAGTGCTTGGGCGGAAGGACTTCCATAAAGGACAATGCTTATGTCATGAAAAGACAAAGGCAACATTAGCTTGCTCTGGTGGCCACTGACTAACCAGAAATTAATGAGGTCTAATGAATATATACTGAACTTGTGATTCTCAATGTGCTCATTATCCATGTCAGGTGAAGCCAGCATATTTTGTTGACTTATTTATTTATGTAATTTTCTGTTTGTTTGAGGAAGGTCTTCCTATGTAGTCTAGGCTGGACTTGAACTTGTTAAATTGCCCAGGCTGGCCTCAAGCTCCAAACACTCCTGCCTCAGCCTCCTGAGTGCTAGGATTACAGGTGTGCACCACCACACCCAGCTGAAACAACGCATTTAGGATCCTGCACCTCATTTGTTCATTCATCCAACAAATATTTCTCAAGGCTCTGCCTTGTGGCAGGCACTGTGCCCATGCAGAGGGTCAGAAAGTAATGAGGTCTCCCACTGCTCGTTACTAAGGCTCTCAGTCTCTGGGGAGCGATGGGCAAACAGGCAACCCCAGGATCCCAGACCTCATAGGGTTCAAGAGTCTTACAGCTGTGACAGCGGATACGTGATCAGGACCCAAAGGACGCAGGAGAAGGAAAACTTGGGTCCAACAGAAGCATAAGGCAAGTCTGCAGGTAGTTTTACATTTTCTCATGGCCACATTAAAAAAAAAAAAAAAAGAATAGACACATGTTAAATTAATGTAATTTTTTGTAATAACCAAAATATTATAATTTCAACATGTAATCAGTAAAAAAACCAAACAAACAAAAAACCCCAAACCTGGTAGTGCCTGGCTCTAATCCCAGCACTCTGGGAAGCTGAGGCAGGAAGATCGAAATTTTTAGCCCAGCCTGGTCAATTTAGCAACTTAGTTAGACTGTCTCAAACTAAAAAATGAAAAAAAAATCAACTGGAGATGTAGCTTCATGTGAAGGCTCTAGGTTCAATCCCCAGTACCAGAAAAAAAAATCCAAAAATGTATTAAAAATATATTTTACATTGCTTTTCACTCTAGGCATCTCAAGTGCAGTATCTTCTATACTCATAGCACAGCTTCACTCAGGCCCTCAAGTCATATCAGAAACATGCAATCTGTATTTAGATTCCATTAAATTCACAGTAAAGCAGGGCATGGTGGTGCTTGCCTGTAATCCTAACACTCGGGAGGCTGAGACAGGAGGATCGATATGAGTTCAAGACCAGCCGGAAATACATAGGGAGAACCTGCCTCAAAAATAAATGAACGGATGAATGAATAAATTAAAAATTTAAAAACTAAATTCACGGTAAAAAAGCAGACTTGTGCACTAAATGTTTCCCAGTAATTGAGCTGAGCACATCTTACTTAAAGTTCAGTTGGATTGACGCGAGATACAATTGAATCCCAAGTTCCTCAGTTGCATGCATTTGTTTGGTGCTCAGGAGTCTCCTGTGGCCCTGGGCTCTTACGCTGGTGGTACAAAAGTAAGGGGAAAGGTAGGGAGGGTGTGCAGGCCTCACAGGGACACTAGTGTCAGGCCTGTCACTGCCCAGACATGGCAGGGCCAGGGCTCCCAGAGAACAGAGAGGGAAGCCCAAGCCCTGTTGGAGAGGAGCCGGGGTAGTAGAGATCTCAGATACACACAGCCTGGGGAAGGAGATGCTAGGATTTGGGCAGGAAGGACTACAAACCACAAAGATAAATGGTTGAAGCTGCAGTTCCATTTGCATACGCTTGCTGCCCTGTCTTTTTGCTGATGGCACCCGTGCCTGTCCTTTCCTCTCCTGGTTTAATGCTGAATGTGTAAAAGCAGGCCCATTGTGCAACACCCAGGCCCAGCTGCCAGCTCTGCCCGTTAAAGGGGAACTGGGCCTTGGCTGGCAGCTGCCTGGCACAGCGCATCCTGCATCCCGGGAGAAGCTGCTTGGAAAGGGTGGTGTGTTCCTGAGAGCTGACTCGGCTCTGGAGAGCCCACCTGCCCCAGAGTCCTGGTGGCCTTTCCTGAGCTTGGCCTTTGATAGTTCTGTATCCCTTTGCACTTACCTGGGCTCAGAGGGCTGAGCATAGCCAAGCCAACATCTCTTAAAGGATTTTCTTTGTTTTTGGTTATTTGAGACAGGGTCTTGCTATGTAGTTCAGGCTGGTCTTGAACTCATTACATAGCCCAGGCTGGCCTTGATCCTCCTGCCTCAGCCTCCCAAGTGCTGAATTTACAGGCATGAGCCCCCTTGTCTGGCTGCTCAAGGGCTTTGAAGGTAAGAGGCCCCTGAGGCTTCCGGTGAGCTCATAGCCAGCCCTGGCAGCCATTTTACCCTTTCCAGTAAGGGAATGCAGTAAAAGCAACAACAACAAAAAAGACACCCAGCCCCTCCCCTCCCTCCCCTCCAGCTGTGGGCTCTCTGACTTCTTGAAGGAATGGCCCTGGGCACTGTATTTACATTCTTGTGTTCGCTGATAATGACTTTCAGATTTTTGGAGCTCCTCCGCTGACAGCAACCCCCCCAACCCTCCACCTCCCCATAGGCCTCTCCACTCAGACGGCCTCTGTCCCGCCTCCTGGCGCCAGCTCTGCCTCATCAACGGGGTGCATGCCATCAAGCCCAGGACGCCTTCGGAGCTGGAGTGCAGCCAGACCAACGGAGCCCTGTGCTTCATTAACCCGCTCTTTCTGCAAGTGCACAGCCAGGACCTCAGGGCCTGCCCAAAGCGGCCAAGTTCAAGGACTCCCCCGGCGAATGGCTCCGAGTGGCCTCGGTCCCCACCACCCAGGCCTCCGCCACCCACCATTCAGAGTCTGCACACCAGCCCTCGGCTGTCCAGGAGTGACACCCGGCCGGGCATGCCACAGACAGTCAGCCAGGACACGCAAGAGAACGTAGCCACGCTGGGAAGGAAACCAACCCCCATCCCTCCACCCCGGCTGAAGAAGCAGGCTTCTTTCCTAGAGGCGGAGAGCAGCACCAAGACCTTGACGGCCCGGCTGCCTGGCCGGGGCTTGGAGCTGGAGCTGGAGCCGGGCACAGCTGGCAGCACAGGTGGGGCCCCGCCCACGGGGGATTGCACAAGGGCCCAGCCTCCTCCCGCCTCTGCAGCCCGGCCCCCACGCCATGGGGGCAGGCAGAGACTGAGCGACATGAGCATTTCCACTTCCTCCTCTGACTCGCTGGAGTTTGAGCGGAGCATGCCGCTGGATGGCTACGAGGGGGACACAAACAGCAGCCTGGAGGACTACGAGGGCGAGAGTGACCAGGAGACCATGGCACCCCCCATCAAGTCCAAGAAGAACAGGCACAGCTCCTTCGTGCTACCCAAGCTGGTCAAGTTGCAGCTTCGAAAGATGAGCGGGGTGCTCAGCTCCTTCATGACACCTGAGAAGCGCATGGTGCGCCGGATCGCAGAGCTGTCACGGGACAAGTGCACCTACTTTGGCTGCCTGGTGCAGGACTACGTGAGCTTCCTGCTGGAGAACCGTGAGTGCCACGTGTCCAGCACGGACATGCTGCAGACCATCCGGCAGTTCATGACCCAGGTCAAGAACTACCTGGCCCAGAGCTCTGAGCTGGACCCCCCCATCGAGTCGCTGATCCCCGAGGACCAAATCGGTGAGTAACTACTTTATTTTCCAATCATAAACTCTTCCGTAGCCTGGCCAAGTGGCACCTGGTGATGAGTTGTGGGTCATGGTTGAGATTTACCCAGAAATTCAGGACAACACAGAACTCCACCCAATGTAAGTGGGCAGCTTCTTAGGGAGGCTGCTTGAAAATGTTTTGGGGAGCAATAGATTGGGGTTGCAGAGCAGCTCTGCTCAGGAGTGGCATCTCTGCCACTGTGCTCTGGTCCTGTGTCAGCTGCAGGGTGGGCACACAGATAAAGGTGCTCTGGTGTCCCCTGGCAGGTAGCAGGGATTTTGTGCCGCTATCTGGGGAGTAAACAAGGTGTAGCCTCTAGAGAGTGCCAAGACGCAGTGGGTAGCACCCAGGATTGCACTGTGAGCATAAGCGCCAGCTTCCGTAAGCAGATCAGGGTCCTCACCCAGAGCTCCCTGGACCCCATCCTGTCCCAGGTTACCTTCCCCACTGGCCTTGCATCTGCACTTCTGTGCCTGGAATGGTTTTGGAGCAAGGGAAAAACCAAAAACGAGGAAAGACAAGTTTGTTTGGTGTACCTTTAAAACAAGTAGCATGGCTTGGAGGTCACATGAAAGGCATTCTCACTGCAGTCGGGAAATACTTTCTTTATAACCTCACTGAAGGGCTGGATTGTTCCTGGTTACTTTGGCAAGGAACTGGCCAAGCTAAATTTGAATTTGGCAAGCAGTCTTTTTTTTTTTTTCCTTCCCAGGGTGAGCGTATTGAAGGGTTTTGTTTGTTTTACTTTGTTTTGTTTATTTCAGAAGGTTGGTTTGAAAAGGTTAACTTCAGAGACGTCGTCGTTCACTGGGCAGTGGCTGCCAAAAGCGCTTCTAAACATTTCCAGGCAGTTCAGAAGCTAACCTCAAATTTATTTCTTCATTGTGATTGGGTCTGTTTGTTGAAAGTAGTAAACAGTGAGTCCTCTCTCTCTCTCTCTCTCTCTCT